TGGGGGCGGGGCGAGGTCGGGGTAGGGGCGGGGTGAGGTCGGGGGGGTGAGGTCGGGGTGGGGGCGGGGCGGGGCGGGGGTGGGGCGGGGGCGGGGTGAAGTCGGGGGGGGGGGTGAGGTCGGGGCGGGGGCGGGGGCGAGGTCAGGGTGGGGGCGGGGCGGGGCGGGGGCGGGGCGAGGTCGGGTGGGGGCGGGGCGGGGGCGGGGGCGGGGTGAAGTCTGGGGGGGTGAGGTCGGGGTGGGGGCGGGGCGAGGTCGGGGTGGGGGCGGGGCGAGGTCGGGGTGGGGGCGGGGCGAGGTCGGGGTGGGGGCGGGGCGAGGTCGGGGTGGGGGCGGGGTCAGAGCCTCCCCCCCCACCCCCCGCGCCCCCCTCACCGGGTGATCTTGGAGTCGCGGTAGGGCACGTGGCTGCCGCGCCGCCGCGGGTCCCCCAGCGCGCTGATGACGTTGCCCAGCGCCAGCAGGCTGCTGTTGATGCGCACGCTCTCCCGCAGCCGCGCGCCCGCGCCGCCCGTGCGCAGCGCCCGCTCCGAGCCCGCCAGGTCCACGAAGTGGAACTTGGAGAGCAGCAGGCGGCCGGCCGGCCGGGACGCGCGGCCCGGGGCGCGGCCGCGCTGCCGCAGCGTCACCGTGAACACCGTGTGCGAGCGGCTGGAGCGCCGGTGGAAGGCCGTGGGCCCCGTGTGCCGCGCCGCGTTGCCCATCTCCAGCAGGCTCAGCACCTCGTCCAGGCCCTCCACGTCCACCTCCTTCACCCCGCACAGCGCTGCGGGCACGGAGGGCCGTGAGCCCCTCCCCGGGGCGGGGGCGGCCACCCCGTCCTCCCGGGGGAGGGAGCACCGGCTCACCCACGCTCCCGCGGTCGTCCTCCCGCAGCTGGATGTCGCGGCTGGCCGTGGTCACCTCCAGCAGGTCGCGGAGCTGCTCCTTGTACACCTCCAGGTAGGACACGTGCACCAGGCAGTCCAGCAGGTCGTTCTCGTCGATCAGCTTGAAGGCCTCGGCCATGGCTCTCGGGATGATGCCCTGCTCCTCCTCCTGCAGGGAGGCTGGGGGGGGGGGGACAGCGCAGGGCGTGGGGGACAGCGCAGGGACCCGGGGGGACAGCGCAGGGCGTGGGGGGAACAGTTCGGGGGGGCAGTTCAGGGGGGACAGCTCAGGATGTGTGGGGAACAGTTCCGGGGGGCCGTTCAGGGGGGACAGCGCAGGGCGTGGGGGACAGTGCAGGGTCCCGGGGGGACAGCACAGGGTGTGTGGGGAACAGTTCGGGGGGGCAGTTCAGGGGGGACAGCGCAGGGTGTCGGGCCGCCTGCCTCCCCCAGGCCCTCAATCCTCCCCCCCACTGCACACCACCAGATTTTTCAACATGAATGTTTACTCCTACAGAGAACTCTTCATGACACATAGTTTTCCATCTCTTGTCTGTCTGTCTGTCTACCTATCTGTCTCTGCATTTTGCAGGGCCGGGGATCAAATGCACAGACTGAGTATGCTGACAACACTGCAGGTAAGCGACACCCCCAGCCTTGGGATACATCATCCGGAAAATAAAACAGTATTGGAAAGAACGGGCGCCACATACTTTTTAGTTTTTAAAGAAGAATAATTTTCAGAGAGAAACCGGCATGCTCACAGGGCGATTTCTACAAGGCGGTTATCAAGTAGGTTGCTTTGTGCGTGTAGTTACCTGTCTGTTTTCCTACAATAAACAAGCATGCTTTCCTAACTGCTTTGCTCCCCACAACTCATGAGTTGGAATCCTTACTCTGGGTGAGACAGTGTGAGGATTGGGGGGACTAGGTCATGGGGGGGAGGAGAGGAATTTGTCCCTTATTATTTAGAGGAAGAGGTGTCTGAAGGGTCTTTTTCTGCTCTGTTAGCACTAGCACTGACCAGTCTCCAAAACGGGGAGAAAGAAACTTCTGATAATGTGCCACCCAGTCTATGAGATTCAGTCACAACAACCAGCATGCACTACAACAGGGAGTGACCTCAGGCAGGGCTGGGGATGTGGCTCCGCGATACAGCACTTGCCTAGCATGTAGGAGGCTCTGTCCATCCCTAGCACGAAAAACAAAAGAAGAAGAAAGGGGCAGGGCGCTGGTGGCTCAAACCTGTCATCCTAGCTACTCAGGAGGCCTGAGATCTGAGGATTGTGGTTCAAAGCCAGCCCGGGCAGGAAAGTCCTTGAGACTCTTATCTCCAATGAACCACCAGAAAACCAGAAGTGGCACTGTAGCTCAAGTGGTAGAGTGCTCACCTTGAGCTGAAGTGCTCAGGGACAGTGCCCAGGCCCTAAGTTCAAGCCCCACCACCAACAATACACACACACACACAAAAGAAAAAAAGAAAAAGGGGAAGAAAAACACAGTAACCTCAGAAAGCACAGTTCCTATTTTCCTATTCCAGGCAGGTCCCTTAGTGGAAGGTCAGAGGTGCCCAGGGCCTGGTGCAGTGTCACTCACCCACACTGGCCTCCCCCATGGTGTATGTCTTCCCGGAGCCCGTCTGGCCATAGGCAAAGACAGTGGCATTGAAGCCCTCAAAGAATGCCTCCAGGAGGGGCTGCACGCAGGCCTGGTACACAGCCTCCTGCCCAGCGTCCTCTGCCAGCACCACGTGAAAGCCAAAGTGGCGGTCACGCCCCAGGGTGACCCGGCCATCCTCTGGCTCCACCTGCAGGCAGCTCTGGTGTCCATGGAGCAGCTCCTTGGGCAGCAGTGGGCGGACTCGAAGGGCCACCCTCACTGGAGCCTCTTCGTCCCCAGGCAGCCGCTGGGCCTCCAGCCCCATACCGAACAAAGGCTCTGCGGAGAGAAGGAGAGACCCCCTTGTCCCCAGCACCTAAACTCCAGGGGTCTAGACACACCCTGCAGGTCCCACAGCCTGGACGGACTCTGGAGGGATGGGGAAAGAGCCACACCCCACTGGGGAGCTCCATTCCTCAGCAGCCGGGGCTTTCCCGTAGTCTCTTAGATCACAGAACTCCATCCCCACCTTCTGCTAAAAAGCCAACAGATCCTAGCCGGGTGCCAGTGGCTCATGCCCGTCACCTCAGCTACTGAGAAGGCTGAGATTTGAGGATCCCAGTTTGAAGCTAGCCTGGGAAGCAAAGTCCATGAAACTCTGGTCTCTGGTTAATCACCAAAAAGCCAGAAGTGGCACTGTGGCTCAAGGGCTAGAGGGCTAGCCCTGAGCAAAAAAGCTCAGGGGCAGTGTCCAGGCCCTGAGGTCAAGCCCCAGGATTGGCGCACGGGCGCTCATACACACACACACACACACACACACACACACACACACACGCACGCACGCACGCAGCCAACAGATCCTTCTAGATGGTGCTGCAACCACCAAATCCTGCCCATTCCACCTCCTAAACATCCCAGGATCACCTGAGCTGCTCATCCTACGGTCAGTGCCCTGGTCTAGGTGCCAGAGTGATTTCTGCCAGCACTCTTTCCGTATCTGAGTCTCCCCCCTCCCTGCCCCCTATGCCTCCCACTAAAGCAGCCAGGGGCATCTTTCAGAAATACAAAGGTAATCAACGTCACCCCCGCCCAGGTTAACCCTCCCAAACATGGCCCAGGTTAACCCTCCAAACACAGGTCACTGCCTTTAGGATTCAAAAAAAGGCAAGAGTTAAAACGCTGACCACGCTCCTCCCTGGCACTAAGCCTTCCTCATCTCTCTCCCCAGCAACCGCAGTTACCAAAGCATCTCTCCATCCCTGCTTAGGCCAGGCCCACCTTCAGAGGGCCAAGGAGGTGCCTCTGCTCTGTGCCAACCTCTCTCTCTCTCTCTCTCTCTCTCTCACACACACACACACACACACACACACACACTGCCCTGTGTGTGTGCTGCGCCCACTGACCGCGGCGATGAAATTGCCAAGCCTCTTCCACTTTCCAGGCCGGGGGACCCCCTCTGTCCCCTCGGAGCTGCCATTACCAGCGCCCAGGGCCAGGCCCTGCCTGCCTCGGCCTGCCTGGGCCTTCCGCGCACCCCGACCTCGGTGAGCCCCTCGGCGGGGGCCCACCGCACAAGGGGTCCCCGTGCGCCCCGCCCGGCCGCGGTGCCCGGCGCGGGGACGCCGCACGCGGCAGACTCCCCCAAAAAAGTTTGAAGCAGGGACTGCGAATGCGGGGCCCCGCCAGGCCCGGCCCGGGATGCCGGCCTCGGCCCCCATAATTGGGGAAGGGGGGGCCGGCCCGCCCTGGGAGGAGCTCCCTGGCGGCCGGAGAGGAAGAGGGGGGGCAGCCAGGACGCCAGGGCGGGCAGGGTCCCGGGACCACCCCGCTGTGCCCGGCCTCGTCCCTCCCCTCCCCCGGCCGCGCCCTCCCCCGCCTCGTCCCGCCCCCCCCCCCGGCCGCGACTCCCCCCACTGCACCCCCAGCCCAAGCCCGCACCCACCTGCCGGCGCGCGGGCGCAGCCCTCGGCCGTGCGAGCGGGCCCGGCGCCTCCGCGCGGCGCGCCCCGATGCCGTCACCGGGACCCCTGCACCCCCCACATCCCGCCCCTCACCCGCAAGTCCGCCCGCCTCTGGGCTGGGGCGGAGCCGGGCGGGGCCTGAGCGGCCGGAAGGGGCGGGGCGCGATCGAGGGGCGGGGCCTGGCACGGGGCGGGGCCTTGTCGAGGGGCGGGGCTGGGGCCGAAGCGTCTCCACCGGGCTTCTCCTGCCTCCTGCAGGTCGAGTGTCCTCAGCGAGACGCGTCCGCGTCCTGGGCCGGCTGCCCTCGTCTCGGTCCCTCTCTCGGTGCCAAGCCGGCCTCCCACCCCGCGACCACGGCCCAACCTCCCATCTCCCCCGTCTCCGCGCCCACCCCGATCGCTCTCGCGGTTGTGCACCTCTGAGGTCGCCTCGCTTCTGTCCCGGGACAGAGGGTCGGACCACCCGCCCCGTCGGACGCGCGCACACACACCTGCGCGCCAGGAGGAGGCTCGGACGGGGAGGACGCCGAGCGCCGGGCGGGGGCGCCCGAGGAAAGCACACTCGGCCGCGTTCGGGTTTAAACTGATTTTATACATTCCCTCGACTCGCTCAGCACCAGCACTTCCAGAGCTCGGGCTGAGCAGCGGCTGCCCCGTGGGGTGTGTGTGCGCTCCCAGGACGGCTGAAATCTCAAGTTAGGGGTTCGAAGCCAGCCCGGGCAGGAAAGTTCATGAGACTCTTTTCTCCAATAAACAGGCCAGGCCTCAGGAGGACGCGCGCCCTGGCCGCGGGGAGATGGGCTCAGGCCGCCCGGGGCCCCCTCTCTAGGGTGGGGCTCACTTGCAAGTTTGGGGCCCGGGTTAAAGAAAGCTGCTCGGGACCGTGGGGCGTGGCGTGGGGAAGGGGCGTGGCTCTGGAAGTGGGCGTGGCTGAAGCTAACTGGGGCGGGGCGGGCTCTAGGGTCCCGAGCGCGTCTCCGAGGCGGGGCTTGGCGGGGGCGTGGTGATTGGTGGGCGTGGCGGGGGCGGAGCCAGGGTGGCGGCGGGCGGGGCGGCGGCCGGGGACTCAGCTCTTCTTGCGCAGCTGGTTGTACTGCGCGCGGCCCAGGATGGGCTCCATGACGCTGGGCCGGAAGAAGCTGTCGCTGACCCTGCGCGCCGGCTTCTCGCGGGGCATGGCCAGGAGGCCGGGGCGCGGGCCGGCGGGCGTCTCCGCCTTGTCGTCCAGCCCGGAGCAGGAGGGGACGCTGAGGCCCCGCGTGCTGCGCAGGCCGCCGCGGGCCGCCGCGGGGCGCGGCGCGGGCTCGGGGCTGGCGGGCCGCGCCCCGGATCCCCGGCGCTCGGACTCGGGGGGCGGGTTGTCGATGTCCTGGAATTCGCTCTCCGGCTCCATCAGCGACAGCCTGGGGAGCTGGGGGACGCGCGGCCGCCTTAGGACCACCCTCGTCCCCTCTGGGGCCCACGGAGGGCCATCACGGGACGGGTGGGGGGCTGGGGCAGCAGGATGGGGGCATCGCGGACCCCCTGGGTTCCAGGCGGCTCGGAGGGCTCCGGGAAGGCCGGAGGCCCTGCGATTCCTGCTGGGCTGCAGCCACAGGCCGCACTCAGACCCGGCCAGCTCCAGGCTGCCCCTGCCTGGACGTGCCCTCAGTCCCAGGTGGGCAGGCCGGCTGCCTCTGGGGGGCTTCCCAGCCCTCCCGTTCCCCCGTGACTAGCTAGGGCAAGGGGTGGCTTGGGCCCTTTGGGTGACCATTAGAGACCAGCTGCTGTCCCTAGAACTTACATCCCATCCCCCGGGGAGTCCCTCCCACCTGCCCAGCCACCACATGCCAGCACGCCAGGCCTTCAGTGGGTACTGTGAGATGCGCACCACGCTGGGCCTCGGGGTTCCTCAGACTGATGATGGGGTGCAGACAAGAGGCCTCAGCCCAGGGGGCCTGGACCTCTGCCCTCAGGGCTGGAGAGGCCCCTCCAGAGGGCACTGAGGGTGGCAGGAGGGTGTCCAGGGACCGGGGGGCAGGGGGGACGGGGACCGCAGCCCTTCTGGTCAGCTCTCCCTTAGCTGTCCTGTCAGGGCCCCCTTGGGAACAGGAAGGTGGCGGGAGGCTGAGGGGGGGACTCACCGGTACATAGTGAACCACTGTGTCTACCACGTTGTCAGTCACGCCCTTCAGGGCGTCAGACAGTGACATGGCCCGCTTCTTCGTGGAAGAGACGACTGGAGCCGGCGTGAGGTGCAGTATCCGGCCTGCGGTGCCCAGCACAGCCGCAGGCGCCCAGGTCACAGCAGAGATGGTGCTCTGGAGGCCCCGCCGCAGGGAGTGGACTGCCCCACCCAGCAGGGCCTGCGGGCTGGGCAGCGCCGACACCTGAGGGCCAGAGCACCATCAGCACCTCCAGCAGCCAGGAGTATGGAGATCAAACCCAGATGATGCTAAGCACAGGATCCTCTAGAGCTCACACCCAGCCCCCATATCTGTGTCTGTGTCCATACTGGGGCTTGAACTCAGGGCCTAGACTGTCCCTTAGCTCTTTAAGTCAAGGCTGGCACTCTACCACTTGAGCCGCAGCTCCACCTATGGTCTTTTAGTAGTTAATTGGAGATAAGAGTCTCATGGACTTTCCCAGCTAGAATGGCTTTAAACCCAGGATCCTCAGATGTCAGCCTCCTGAGTAGCATTGGGAGTGTAAGCCACTGGCGCCCAGGCGGCCCCCAGGTCTATTAAAAGACCTTGATTGCCTGGTGTCAGTGTCAATCTTGCTACCCAAGAGCCTGAGAGCTGAGGATCATGGTTCAAAGCCAGCTCTGGCAGAAAAGTCTGTGAGACTCTGATCTCCAATGAACCACCAAAAAGGCTGGAAAGTGGCTGAAGTGACTTGAGGTAGAGAAAGTTCAGGGAAAGCACCAGGCCCTGAGTTCAAGCCCTAGGACTGGCACAAAAAGAAAACAAGAGCCTAGTATGTAGAGTTTGAGATCTTCTGCCAACAGTAGTGGTAATTATATGCTTTATAATAGTAATTATGCACTGTGTTATAATAGTAATTATGTAACTTAGGTAAGATTACAGCCCCATACCTATTTTTGAACTTCCTGTAAGTGGGTCATACAGAGAGGGCTCCTTTATGAATACCCACTCATGTTCCACACTACAGAAGACAGCTTGCAAGCCTGGTTCTGACCCTTGATGTGTGGCTTTGGGCAAATGTGTTCTCCTTGAGTGCATTTCTTCATCTGCAAAACAGGGCGGCTATCTCTGCCCTGCCTCTTTTTGGCAGTACTGGGATTTGAACCCAGAGCCTTGAACTCACTAGACATACTCTACCACTCCAGCCACATTTGAGTGATTTTTCCAGATAACGTCTCTTGCTTTTTCTCCTCCCACCAGCCTCAGACCATGATCCTCCAACTTGTACCATTGCCTATAAGCGGGATTATAGCAGCAGACCACCACGCCCAGCTGGTTTGTTGAGTTGGAGCATCGATAGCTTTTCGTATGGGCTGGCCTGGAACTTTGTTCTCACCCCTTTGCTGGGATTATAGGCATGTACCACCACACGGCTGCACCTGACCTGCCTCTGTGAAGGGCTCTTATGAGGATCAGCTGAGAGTGTCGTGGAAATGCTGTCCTCTGTGGGTTTGGAGGCGGAGAGAGCGAGAGTTGCACACACGCGCCAGGTCTCTGGCTGGCATCAGAGACCCTTGTTTTACCCCCTCCCCCCATCCCATGGCCCGGGGCATGCGAGGTGCCTGCTTTCCCCCTCACCTCGCTGAACTTCTCCTCCGTCTCTGACTCTTCTTCCTCCGTCTCCTCTCCCTCTGAGTCTGTCTGATCGTCGTGGCTCTCCTCCTGGGCCAGGCTGTGCAGCCAGGCCCCACGCCCCTCGCTCTGCCGCGGCCAGGACACCACCTGCATGGCGGCCGACGCGCCCCACTGGGCCAGGCTGCTCTGGGGGGGGACAGCGGCAGACCTCGGGCTCAGCGGTCTGTCAGCTGACCGCCAGGACCCCAGCGTCCAGAGCCCCTCGCTCCCAAGGCCAGAGTGGTTGCAGGGCCTGGTCCCCAAAGACTTTTCTTCCATTTTTTTTTAAATGACAGGTCTCTCTATGCAGTCCAGGGTGGCCTGGAACTTGAGATCCTCCATCCTCAGCCTCCTGGGTGCAGAGATTACAGGCATGCACTACTAAACCTGCTGGATAGGAACATTCTTGATGTCTTTCATAGCTTTCTTGAGGCACCAGGGATTCAGTGCTAGGGAAACTTTCTACCCCTGAGCTATCCCCTAGCCCTTTTAAATTAATTAATTAATTTGTTTTTGCCGATCCTGGGGCTTGAACTCATGGCCTGAACACTATCCCTGAGCCTCTTGGTGCTCAAGACTAACACTCTACAACTTGAGCCACAGCTCCACTTCCAGTTTTCTGGTGGTTTATTGGAGATAAGAATCTCACAGACTTTCCTGCCTGGGCTGGCTTCAACCCATGATCCTCAGATCTCAAACTTCTGAGTAGCTGGGATGACTGGTGTGAGCCACAGGTACCCAGCTTCCGTTAGTCCTCGTGAAATGTTGCGCTGGGGTCTTATTAAGTTGCCCTGGCTTGAGATCTTTGTAGCTGGGATTACAGGCATGAGTTGCCACGCCCCACACATCTTTAGGAGACGTGGCAGGGCCTCCCTCCTTGCTGTTCAACTTCTACATGAGCAGCTGGGGTTCTGCCCACTGCAGGCTGAGCTGAGATACTCACTCACCAGCAAAGGACCCTTGGTACGGGGACAGTGAGCCACTTGCCGCTCCTGTGTCCTCGTGGGCCACAGCACCTGGCACGCTGTTGGTCTTGGCGCAGGTAGGTTCTCAGCACATGTGTATGTGCGTGAGGGAGTGACCCAGATCCGGCAATCCTTCTAAAACTGCCTCTCATGCCGGACACCTGTGGCTCGCGCCTGTAATCCTAGCCACTTAGGAGTCTGAGATCTGAGGACTGAGGTTGGAAGCCATCCCTTGGATGGATTCTTCATCTCCAGTTAACCAGCGAAGAGCCAGAATTGGGGAGTGGGGCTCAAGTGGTAGAGCACCAGCCTTGGGCAAAAAAGCCAAGGGAGAGCGTGAGGCACTGAGTTCAAACCCCGGTACAGTCACAAAATCGCTGAGAAGTCCCCATGTGACTTGCTGATCTTTGTACTTTTATTTTTTTCTCATTGCTGAGGATCAAACCCAGGGCCTCTGGGATCCTGGCAAGCATTCTTCTACTAAGCGGCACCGCAGCCCGCCCTCCATGCTTAATGTGTTACCTTCCCTCTGGGCCTGCGTTTCCTACACAAGCTCCTCATGCAGAAGTTCCAGACTTGTCTGTGCAAAACCACACAGAGACAGTGCTCCCTTGGGCGCAGGGTCCCAGACAGTGAGCCCACCGGCCCTTCCTCGTCCTGAACTGAGGGGCCAATCCCATCAGCAGAGAAGAAGTTCCCAGGAGCAGAGAGGCCGGGGTGGGTTGGGGTGGGGACCCCCCAGCTGCCAGCCCCCCTCCCCAGCGGCACTCACCAGGGGCGCCACGCCCGGGATCCACATGGCCAGGGCGTGCCCCTGCTTCAGCGCCCAGGTGGAGGTCCGCATGGTGTGTCGAGACAGGGTGTTGGCCAGCGCCCCGACCCTGCTGGCCAGGCTGGGCTTGGCCTTGGGGTCCTTCAGGGTCTGGGTATGTCCAGAAGTAGGGGCTGGGTGGGGATTGGTGGAGAAAGAGCCACGCTAGTGTCACCCCAAACCTACCCACCGACGCCGGACCCCGCCTGCTTCCCTTCTCTCCGGGTGGGGTGAGGGGACTACAAGATTCTGGGTCCCTCTGAAGATTCTGCCCCCCCACCCATTCTAGAGGGGCGCTCACGGGCCGGGCCGCCTCCTGCCGATTCCCAGTGCCGGCCGGTACCTGACTCCTCGCTGGCCGGGGGGAGGAGGAACCCCACCACCTTCTCGATGCCGTCGAGGGCGAGCTCGGCCCCTCCGGAGGCCAGCCGGCCGGCCCGCGTCCCCGCCGCGTACTCCACGGTGTCTTTGGCCACCCCCCAGGCGAGCTCGCAGCTGGCCAGGGTGGCGCCCAGGACTTTGTCGGAGGTGCTGGCAATGGGCACGCTGATGCTCTTCCGGGCAGTGCGCAGGCGCGTGGAGATGGTGCCCTTCAGCTCAGAGGCGATCTGGGGGGCGGGTAAGGTTGTGGGGTCTCCTTGCAGGCCCTGGGAGCAGCTGCTCTTGGTCTCAGACCCCACTGAAGAGTCTCATTAAAAGCCTAGAAGGCCGGCATCCACTCTGGGCGCTGGTGGAGGCTGGGTGTTTGGCCTCTTCCCAGCCCTCAGGATTCTGCCTCTCCCCCAAGACAGCACCAGCCCTCCCGGCCCCAGTCCCCAGGGGGCAGCCATGGACACAGGGCCAAGGGAAGGGGAGTGGCGTGGAGGGTCGGATCGCGGGGATCTCAGTGTGTGCACCCCTGGCTCAGCTGGCTGTAGTCTCCCAGAGCCCCGCCAGCCCCGCCGCTGCCCTTCCTGAGGGGCGATGGCGGCGAGGGAGGGGGTGGCGGGGAGGGGGAGGGCTCACCTTCTCAGGCGGGTACTGGAGGGCAGGGATCTTCTCCTCCAGGTGGTCCAGGCCTCGGCAGGCCAGCTCATTGGCAGCTGTGACTGCAAGGGGGTGTGTTGGATAAAAGTACCTGAAGCCCAGAGGTGGGGCTCCAGGTTCCTTCCTTGTGAAAGGTGGACTGGGGGTTATCGTGGGGAGGAAGGGATGGAGCCTACGAGAACTGGCAAGGAACATCGTTCTCTTCATCGTCATTCCCCCCCCCCCCCCCCCCCCGCCGCCTCTCGCCTGTCTGGGTTCTGGGTTCTCCAGAGGAGTAGAGAAGACACACACCACACACGGGTCCCCAAGGGAGGCGGGTGACAGCAGAGACCTGGGGGCCTTCGGTGACAGTCCCCAGCCCCAGACAGCTCCAGATCACCATGGCCCTGGCTTTTAGCTGGGAGGGGTTGACATGGCTGACCGGTGGTGGGGATGGAGGGGGGGGGGTCGTGAAGACGTTCATAGACCCTCATGCATTAATTCATTGAGCCGCAGAGCACGCAGGTGATGTGCTGTCTCCTGTCTTTCCAGGCTGCTGGGGGAAGGTGCTAGACTCCTCTCGCAGTTGGGGTTTCTCTCAGCTTGGTCATAGGGTGCTTGGAGACCGCAGTCTCAGATGGGACTGAGCGCTGCTTAGGGCCAGGCTGGTGGGGCCGTAGCCGGCGCGTGGCTCTCTGCTGCCCCCATGTGTCACAAACCAGCCCAGCAGCGGAGCGGGCGCCCTCCCGCATCCCCGCACGCTGCTGCCTCCGCTCCAGACTCTTGGTTCTCGCTGCCCTGGCTGGATGTGGAACTCGGGTGGGGATCTGGCCAGTCCCCAGTGCCCACTCCTTCCCTTGGGCATTGTTTCGCCCACCACTGCCATCCATGGCACATGCCGGGTGGACAATTGCTGCAAAGAGAGCCGTATCTACATCTTTTTGTTGCTGTTGGTGGGGCTCCAACTCAGGGCCTGGACTCTGTCCCTGAGGCTCTCTGTTCCCCAAGGATAGAGCTCTACCACTTGAGCCACAGCGCTACTTCTGGTTTTTCGAGTGGTTCATTGGAGCTATGAGTCTCACAGGGACTTTCCTGCCCGGGCTGGCTTCAAACCATGATCCTCAGATCTCAGCCTCCTGAGCAGCTGGGATGACAGGCGTGAGCCACTGGTGCCCGGCTGTTACCTAAATCTTGATATGGAGATGATGGGCTGTCAGGCAGATGGGTGAACACTTTATCAGTTATCAGACATTGACAGACAGACAGACAGAATGGCAGGCGGGCAGGTGTCATCAGTGGGCAGTTACCAAGTATCCTGGGAGAACTTACACTGGGTGGAGAGCCTGCGGACCACTGGCTCCATGCCCCAGGCGGCCAGGCTGCTGGCGCCCTGCACGCCCTTCTCGTAGGCATTGCACACGGAGGCCACCAGCGGGTGTGCTTCCTTGGTGCTGGTGTAGGTCTTCTGAACACACTCACAGGTGCCGCTCACCACCGGCAGCTGCAGGACCCGGTGCAGCACATTCTCCTGCTCCTGTAGACCGAGGAACACCCTGGAGTTACCCCATGGGGGGGGGGTGTGGGCTGGGGGCCAGGGCACTCACTGCGAGGCTGGACCCAAGAGAGCTGGGAGGCACTGAGAACATAAGCGACCTCCCAATGCCCCCGCCACAGGGGAAGGGGAGAGTCAGCCCTCCCGCCACTGCCGGCCCACCCCAGGGCCCCCCAACCCCACCCCCGTCCCAGCAAAGAGCAGCTGTCACTGCGCCCCTGTGCACATGCATTCCTCCTTTCGTCTGATGGCGCCATCAACACAGTGCTGTGCTCTCTCCCGGCCCCCTCTCCAGATGCTGGTCTCCTGTGAAGTTCCCTCACCTTCCCTCCCACGCGACTTTGGGTGGAAGACCACTTCCCCTGTGGCTCCCGTGGGAGTATGACCACACACACACACACACACACACACACACACTGCATTGTATCCACTGTGTCCTTCCCCAGGCTGGCTCCACATCTATGCCACAATGCTATGTGTGCGTGTGCGTGTGCACGCATGCACATGCGCGCACACGCACACATACTCTTGCACTTTCTTTCTCCCAGCAGAGCCTCGTCTCTATGGCCAGGGCCGGCTTGGAAGTGTGGCGCAGGAAAGAGTCGGAGCACTGTGTTACCGTCAGGGCCGCACCACGCAGAGTGTGGAGCTTTAGATCTTCCCAGCCTCGCAGGATCCTGGCTTCCCAAGGCTCGGAAGCAGAAGTGCTAGGCAGCATGTCGGTGCTGGGCTTGAGCATGGACGTCTCTGTGGCTGGGAACTCTCCCCCCCCACACACACACAGCGCCTGGGCTGGCTGTGGCCTGCCCAGCTCGGGTCTGCACTCTTCCTCGTCCTCCCTCTGTGCCCCAGGACAGTGCTGAGCAAGTCTGTCTCGCCGGACACACACAGGTTGCGGGTCAAATACATCTTCCTTAAGGAGTCTCTTCTTCACCGGAAGTGGTGCTCACTCCTCAGGTCGTTTATAAATGGTTTGCACTGACCAGGTGCTGCTGGCTCACGCCTGTTGGTGGCTCCTAGCTGAGATCTTGGATCATGGTTAGAAGCCAGCCCTCACAGGAAAGTCTGTGACTTTTTGTTGTTGTTGTTGTCGGTTGTGGGGCTTGAACTCTGGGCCTGGGCGCTGTCCCTCAGCTCTTCAGCTCAAGGCTAGCGCTCTACCACTTAGGCCACAGCGCCACTTCCAGTTTTCTGGTGGTTTATTGGAGATAAGAGTTTCATGGACTTTCCTGCCCAGGCTGCCTTTGAACCGTGATCCTCAGATCTCAGCCTCCTGAGGATCTAGGATGATAGGCGTGAGCCACTGATGCTTAGCTGTGACATTCTTGTTGTTGTTGTTGTTGATCATGGGACTTGAACTCTGGACCTGGGTGCTGTCCTTGAACTCTTTTTTTTTTGCTCAAGGCAAGCACTCTACCAATTTGAGCCACAGCTCCACTTTGGTTTTTGGTGCTTCACTGGAAACAAGAGTGTCACAGAATTTCCTGACAGGGCTGGCCTTGAACCTCGATCCTCAAATCTCAGTCTCCTGAGTAGCTAGGATGACAGGTATGAGGTACCAGCGCCCAGCATCTGTGACATTCTTAGGCTGTTGGCACTGCCTGGTCTTTGGAATAATAAGAATTGTGCACAGCAAAAATAATATGGGAAGACATCCCAGGCCTGGCTTAGATGCTGGAGCTGTGCCCCGGGACAGGGCTCTGACCTAAAGGAGCAGGCCTGGCCTGCTCTGTGCGGCGGGCTGAGCTGGGAGAGCCACGGAGCAGACCCACGGGGTCGCTGGACAGAGCGGGCAGCAATGCCATTCTAGGCAGAGCAGGGCTGTTGCAGATAAAGCTCAAGGGGCTGGGGGAGGGGCTCACAATGCTGGAATTTCCTCTCTCTGTGCCCTTAATACAACACTGAGCAACTCAGCAACTCCCAAGCCCAAGGCCGGCGTGGGGGAGAGGAGGGCTTATGGTTCCCAATGCGTAAGTTTTAGCAACTATCTGAACTGGGCCCACATCCGAGTGGCCTTGGCAAGAGGCGTCCAAGAGAAGTATCAAAATCACCCCAAGGCTCAGTGAGAAACAGGCTAGAGATAAGCAGAGATGCACTGGACACCGGCTCGTTCCCACACGCAGCAGCTCAGGCCACGCACGGGAGGTGACATTCACGGGGGACAGACACCAAGGTGACCCATGGAGTGGCTCTACACAGATCACACATGCCCGAGTTGGGGGACTGAGCCTGGGCTCTTTGTTTTGGGGACACAGCTGTCCCCTTCTGTGCCAGCCCCCTAAACTCCCAGCCTATAGTTCTGCCCCTTTTTGTGCAGTGGGTTTTTTGTTTGATTGGTGGGTTGGTTAGTTTTTTGGTGGTTGTTATTGTTTTTGCCAGTACTGGGCTTGAACTCAGGGCCTGGGTGCTCTCTCTGTGTTTTTGCCCAAGGCTGGTACTCTACCAATTGAACCACCACTCTCCTTCCAACTTTTTGGTGGTTGATTGGAGATGAGCATCTCACAGACTTTCTTTCCTTCTAATCAAGATCCTTAGCTCTCAGCCTCCCGAGTACGGGAGGCTCACAGGTGTGAGTCACAAGCACCTGGAACTCTTTTATTTTTATTTTTTTTGGGGGGGGGTCCAGTCGTGGGGCTTGAACTCTGGGCCTGGGCACCATCCCTCAGCTCTTCAGCTCAAGGCGAGCACTCTACCACTTGAGCCACAGCACCACTTCTGGCTTTTTTCGTTTTGCTTATGTGGTGCTGGGGAATTGAACCCAGGGCCTCATGCATGCAAGGCAAGTGCTCTACCACCTTCCCAGCCCCACCTGGAACACTTTTGCTTGGTTTTTCCTAGGAGTCTTTTCTTTATCCCAGATCGCCCCCACCCCACGCCCCTGCCGCCCCAGCCCTGCAGAGGTAATGAAGGCAGGAATAACTGACTCCTGGTCCAGGAATTAGTAGTGCATTGCATACAGCCCGCCTGTCTCCTGAATCTCCCCACCCTCCCCTCACCCCCGCATGCGTGTCCGCCCGCCTCAGGTTACTCACCGGGGCGTCTCCAGCCACCAAGGTCGGGCCCTTGTTTGCTGCCATCCCAGCAGTGTACCCTGCAAGGCAGACCGGGGTGTGTGAGAGACCCGAAGGCCTGCGAGCCTCAGGATCCGCTCCTCCTTCTCATGGGCTCCTGGCCTGGGAGCTCAGCAGCCCCAGCAGAGGGTGAACGCCACACGCTCAGGCCACCCCGGGGCCCTCAGCAGGGACGGCTGCCCGGCCTAAGATCAGCACTGACATTGCTTAGAAGCGCTCAAGACAAGAAATAACGTAGGAAGTGGCGCTGTGGCTCAAGTGGTAGAGCGCTCGCCTTGAGCTGAAGAGCTGAGGGACAGCGCCCAGGCCCAGAGTTCAAGCCCCACGACTGACCAAAAAAAAAGAAAGAAAGGAAGAACGCAAGAAACTACGAGAGAGAAAAGGCTGCCGGGCACCGGGGGCTCACGCCTGTCATCCTAACTACTCAGGAGGCTGAGATCTGAGGATTGTGGTTTGAAGCCAGCCTGGGCAGGAAAGTCCAGAGACTTCTGTCTCCAATGAACCAGCAAACAAGCCACAAGTGGAGCTGTGGCCTAAGTGGTAGAATGCCAGCCTTGAGTGAAAACACTAAGGGACAGCGCTCAGGCCCTGAGTTCAAGTCCCAGCATGAGTACCATAAATAAACAAAATTAAAAAAAATTCAGATAGAGTCTCCGAGCCCTTAGCTGAGGGTCTAAAAAGAGACTAATGAGTGTCAGGCTTCAGTTGCTCATAACTAACCATTGGGCTGCATTCAGGAAAACCGAGTAGCCCAGGCCACTCACGCTCTCCACTCCTGGCCCTGGGTCCCCTAGGTATCCTCCTCCCAGTAACCCCCGCCCCCAGCACTCAACACACACCAGGACCCCATACACACCGTAGCTGATGGCCGCCACACTCTGAGTGTCCGGGCCGCAGCGTCTCCAGACAGAGACTCCTCCAGTCACCCGGGAACTCTTGGGCAATGCCCACTGGGCTCCCAGCTCGGGGAGGGCAGACAGGAAGGGAGAGCAGGGGCCACCAGTTGCCATGGTTATCTGACCCAGAGTCCCCTGGGTCCCCTGTAAGGACATTTGGCCCAGGAAGATGTAGCTCACAGGGCAGGAGACCCGAACTCAGAGGGGTTATTATTATTAGCTGTTATTCCGGAGTTATGAGGCACTGCTTCTGCAGTTTTTGCTCTTGGTGGGATGTATGTCGTTAAAGTTATCAATTCTCAGGTTCCATACTCCTCTGCAATCATGGGCTGGGGATGCGGCTCTGGTGGTGGAGTGTTTGCTTGCGTGCCGGAGGCTCTGGGTTCAATCCCTAGTCATGAAACATGAACAATTAATTCTGTAATCGTTGGTTCCTTTCCCCAACCTGACAACGTGGTGGCTGAAGGAGGTGCCTGGGGGTGGGGGTGGGGGGGCTAAAGGAGGTGCCTCAGGGCCTCTTAGTTAAGATGGGTAAGAAGGCCGGGCACTGGTGGCTCACGCCTGTCATCCAGCTACTCAGGAGGCTGAGATCTGAGGATCACAGTTCAAAGCCAGCCCAGGCAGGGAAGTCCATGAGACTCTTATCACCAATCAACCACCAAAAAGCTGGAAATGGCGCTGTGGCTCAGGTGGTAGAGCACTAGCCTTGAGCACAAAAGCTCAGGGACAGCAGCCAGGCCCTGAGTTCAAGCCCCAGGACTGGCACAGGAAAAAACTCACAAAGGTGAGTCCGAGGACAGCACTGGGGCTATTTCTGGCTGTTGAGGTGTGGACTGTGCTGGGTGGGCTGAGCGGGCGCCAGAGACCCCGGCGTGCAGCCCGGGTGTGAAATACCACAGCACAGGAGCCGAAGGGAGGTCGTGGAGGAGAGTCAGGAAAACACAGGGGCCGAGGGAGCCGGCCGTGGGGAGAGGGCGGCTCGGGCCTCTCCCCGGCTTCCACGGCGGACGGCAGCCTGGCCAAAGGGCAGCGTGTGTTCTGGGCTCTGAGCCGGGCGCGGTGCTGACACAGCTGGACCCGGCTTCAGTGCGGGGTTCTCAATGTGGGTGAGAGGTGAGGCTGGTGAAAGGGAGGGGAGGGGAGTCCCTGGGGGAGCAAGGGGCGCGGGCAGGGCTCGGGGCACAGGGCACAGGGTTCGGTCCGTTCCCCGCCCGCTCTTCTCGCCTGTTCCCCACCTCCACACCTCGGTGGGGGCTGGTCACGCTCCCTGGTGGATTTCCCACCCCAGGCGCGGCCCTGAATGGACGCTTGGGTCACGGTGCTGGGCTGTGAACGAGCCTCTTTAGTTCTCGGACTCCCCACAAATGTGGAGGCCGTGGAGGAGGCAGCGGGCCTCACAGGGGTGCACAGCAGCTCTGGAGAAAGCAGGTGGCGTTTCCCAGCTTGCCCGCCGCCCACCCCGACTCACAGGGACCCAAGTATGGCCGTGAAGGCCCCGGGGATGCCCACAGCTCTTGCTGCCCACGCCACAGCGGGTGGACGGGGCAGCTCACAACACACTGCCACGTGGGGCGCCACGCGGACCCTCCCGCGGCAGGCCGCCTCCCGCAGCGCTCCTCTCCCGTCCCCAACACATGCACGCGTGCCAGCCGGCTGAATCTAGAAATTTATTGGTCACAATGAATCTCTAACGGTAGAGGATTGCGAGGTTAAAAAACAGTGATTGGAAAGTATTAGTTGTTCCCAGAAGCTTCCTCCCGCTGCCTACAAAATTCCCCAAATAGTTCCTTAAATCTACCTCAGTTAACCAGGAGCCCAAAGACCTGAGATTACTTTTACAGACTTCCAGTCACATTTCCAGGACACAATTCATTCAGTGCGTATTCTTCTGGTTTTCTTTTTCTTTTTTAGTCAGTCGTGGGGCTTCAACTCTGAGTCTGGGCGCTGTCCCTGAGCTCTTCAGCCCAAGGTGAGCGCTCTACCACTTGAGCCACAGCGCCACTTCCGGTTTTCTAGTGGTTTACTGGAGATGAGTCTCACAGACTTTCCTGCCCGGGCTGGTTTTGAACTGCAATCCTCAGATCTCAGCCTCCTGAGTAGCTAGGATTAGTGAGTGATGTGAGCCACCAGCACTCGGCCCTCTTCTGATCTTCTATTCAGATAAATGATGTGGTGACCTCCGCCCTGACACCTGAGGCAGGAGGCGGGGGCTGAGGGAATGCTGAGTGGATCACAGCCCTGCACGCTCCTGCGCTCTGTGTGAGGTACCAGACACCGTGGTGAACTTCCACCTACTTCCACCCCGGGTCAGGATTTCTGTTTACTCATGGGTGACCCGGAGGCTTCTCCAAGGTTCCAGAGGCTTCTCGCAGGTATAGCTGACACAGGGCCCGGGCGGCTGAATGTCCGGCACCCAGCAAGCCACTCAGGGCCAGAGGGCTGAGAGGCTCTGCCCCCTCGTCCTGTGGCCCACACCCAGAGGTGGGGCCAGGAAGGAGGGAGGGCGGAAGTCAGAGCGGAGAGCTGCACATCGCATTCACTGTGGCTGTGCGAAGCCCAGGTGCACACAGCCCAGGCCTCCCCCCCCCCCCCCCCCCCGAGTTCTCACTCGTAGACTGTTAGCATGATGCTTTCGTCCCCTGTCCATTCTTACTCAGATGATACCCAGGCTGTCACTTGGGAGAAGCTCGGCAAGGGTTAGAAGAATGGAACGTGGGAAGCTGGGAACCTGGCTCAGTGGCAGAGTGCTTGCCTAGCATGCGTGAAACATTGGGTTCCATTCCTCAGTACCACCGAAGCAGAAAAGGCCAGAAGTAGTACAGTGCTAGCCTTGAGCAAAAGGAGCTCAAGGACAGTGCCCAGGCCCTGAGTTCAAGAACCAGGACTGGCAAAAAAATAAAGAAAATGAAAGACACACACACATACATTCCAACACTTTAAAAAACAAACATCAAGCCAGGCACTGGTGGCTCACGCCTGTCATCCTAGCTACTCAGGAGCCTGAGGTCTGAGGATTGTGGTTCAAAGCCAGCCTAGGCAGGAAAATCCATGAGACTCTTATCTCTAATTGGCCACCAGAAAATTGGAAGCGCTGCTGTGGCGCCGAGTGGTAGGGAACTAGCCTTGAGCAAAAGAGCTCAGGGACAGTGCCCAGGCCCGGAGTTCAATGCTTAGGACAAAAAAAAAAATCCCCCCCCCAATAAAACCCCACACATCAGTCCTTATACCTTATTCTTGACCTTTCTTACATTACCAATCATTAAGCACTCACTCAAAAAAAAAACCCAAAAAACCTTAAAGCCAAGCACGGGTGACTCACACCTGTGATCCTAGCTCCTCAGGAAGCTGAGATCTGAAGATTGCAGTTCACAGCCAGCCTGAGTAGGAAAGTCCATGAGACTCTCATCTCCCATTAACCACCAGAGAACTGGAAGTGGTGCTGTGGCTCAGTGATAGAATGCTCACCTTGAGCAAAAAGAACTCAGAGACAGCACCCAGGCCTTGAGTTCAAGCCCCACAACTGACAAAAAAAAAAAAAAACCCTAAGCAGAGTCTAACCCGGCTGGTGGCCAACACAAATGCCCGTTCTTCCAGACGTATGTCATCTGCACAGCCAGGGGCTGGCACAGGCTCCGAGTGGCCTAGCGCGTCTTCAGCTTCATCTGGGGGTAGGCCACGGTGACCATGCCCACCAGCGAGGACAGCAGGCCCCCCAGCCCGATGATGCCGAGGCTGGGCCTGCAGAGGCCCAGCTGGTTCAGGGGGATGAGGATGTCACACAAGTTCTTCACCGTGTCCAGGAGCAGGGGCGGGTGCCGCTTCAGGGACCGGAAGAGGAGCAGGACGGAGGGCTGGAGCCGCTCGCTCTCCCCGTGGTCCCCCGCCTGCCACGCCTGGGCGTCCCGGGGGGCCTTCTCTCTCCCGGCCCCGCGGTCCGCGGCCTGCGCCAGGTGCAGCGCAATCTCGTACAGGTCTCGGAGCAGGCTCAGCAGGAGGAAGCAGTAGTAGTGGCGGGCGGCGCGCAGCTGCCACCGCTCCCGGTGGACGCGGGAGGCCAGGCCCACGCTCTTCGCCCAGAGGACGGTGTCGCAGACGAAGTAGACCACGCGGTTCAGGTTGGCTAGTGTGAGGCACAGGCGCGGCACCGGGTCGGCCGCGCGGATGCTCTGCTCCGTCGCCTGCACGGCGTGCACCACGTTGCCCAGTCTGAACCCTGCAAGGAGAGCGCACGCCGAGAGTCACGTCGTTCGCCCGGGGACCGGGCAGCGCCAGCCCCTCTCCACACACCTGCGGGCGCGGGAGGCTGGAGCTGGGGCAGGAAAGGACTGCAGGCTGCAGCCACCTAACGTGGCCCTGAGAGGCACTAAAGACAGTGCCCCCCTCCATGTGTCTCCTCCGCTGCTGTGGGCACGCCACACCAGCCTGGGCACACTGGCAGCTGGGTCCCCCCCCTTCTCCACGGGGACTTGGGACATTCTTTCCTTTGCTCCAGGTGAGCGTTCTACCACTTTGAGCCACAGCGCCACTTCCGGTTTTCTGGTGGTTCATTGGAGATGAGAGTCTCATGGATTTTCCTGCCCGGGCTGACTTTGAACTTCAATCCTCAGATCTCAGCCTCCTAAGTAGACAGGTGTGAGCCACCAGCACCCAGCTTTTGTGTGACATCCTTATACAGCTGATTTTCCAAAGAAGACTGACTTAAAAACACACACACACACACACACACACACACACACACACACACACACACACTACTGCTAGTGGGGCGGAGTGCAGAGTTGGGGCTCCCAGGCAAACCGATCAACTCTTAAACAGCAGTCCTTATGATGTGGGCCTGCACTTTAGTCAGCTT